GAGGGGGGCACACTGCGACGTGTCTGTGTGTGTGGGGGGGGCACGGGGCGCACACTGCGACAGGTCAGTGTGTGTGTGGGGGGGGGTGCAGGGCGCACACTGCGACGGGTCAGCACAGCCCATACCCGTCAGAGAGTGAGCGCCACCCTGGAAGTGCCATCTTTCAGCTGAGACATTAAACTGAGATCCCACCTGCCCTGTCTGGGGTGGGGGTGGGGTGTAAAAGATCCCATGCCTGCTATTGCAAGAGGAGCGGGAGGGGGGTGGGGGTGTGGAGGAGTGTTCTCCCCGGGGTCCTGAGGCCAATATTTATCCCTCAACCGATGGTCTGGGTCAATCCCCCATTGCTGTGTGCGGGATCTTAACTGTGTGTGTGACCCGTTGGTTGCTGTATTTCCCCATGTACAAAAAAGAGAGTGTCCCTGATGGGCTGCGATCCTCAGGACCGTGTTGGGGTGGGGAGGGAGAAAAACGAGGCCACGCGAGGTCAGATGTCACTTACACCGAGGAAGATGTTCTTGGAGGAATCGAACCCAGCAGCGTAAATGCGGGCGGAGTAGGGGGGGTCCCGTTCACAGCTGATCCGGCAAGCAAACCTGGAGATGGTGCTCTGCGTGGTGTGGAGCCCCCCCGTCGAACAGTTACCGGGGGTCGTGTCTGTCACCACAAAGTCAATCAGCGTCTCTGTCGATCGTCCGATCTGTCGCCAGGGAGAGAACGAGAGAGAGTTTCAGGCACAGCTCCCATTGGCATCAAACTGGCCTCGCATCCCCGCCAACCCTCTTCCATTGTCCCCTTGTTTTTCCTAAACTTCTCTGTCGCAGGGGAGCCACCGGCTGGGGCAGCGATGTATTGCCCTTCCCTAATTGCCCCCCTAAACTGAGTTTGTGCCCTTTCAGACGGCAGTTGAGAATCTAACTGCAGCAAATACTGAATAAGAACCGAAGGAACTGTAAATCAGGAACGAAGACGGAAGTTGCTGGATAAGCTCAGCAGGTCTGGCAGCATCGGCTGACAGAAAATCAGTTAACGTTTCGGGTCGGGCGAACTGAGGAAGGGTCACCGGACCCTGAAACGTTGACCGATTTCTCTCTGCAAATGCTGCCAGACCTGCTGAGCTTTCCCAGCGATTTCTGTTTTTGTTATAGTTCAACAGGTTTGTTTGAAATCACAAGCTTTCGGAGCGCTGCTCCTTCATCAGGTGAAGTCACTTAACCCGACTAAAGACAAAGTGGGGATATCGTTAACGACTGGGGAAATGGTAGACTCTGAATAATTTAGTTAGCGTTGTACAAGTGTACACAACAGCATTAAATTACAACGGGATACCGATGGACCTCGTGAGTGGTTAAAACTGCACTTCGGTGTAAGGTTATTCATTTTGGACTGAGAAAAGATAGGCTTTCTAGATGTTTGAAGTTGAAGACAGTGACCTCTAAAGAGATTTGAGGGTTCAGGTGTATAGATCTTTAAAACAGAATGGAAACAGCTCTATTGCCACCGGTACTCAAAAGGAGTACAGGAGAACATTTACAAGTCACCACTTATGGTACCATCTTAGGTACAAAGCACCCTTGGCACAGATTCTTCAGTACAAGTTCTTAGGAAAAAATAAAGCAGTTTAAAAAAATGTCATAAATGGGTGTAGAAAATAATCAAGAAAGCCACAGACTACTGGCCTCTATATCTACACACCTAGAGTATATGGGTTCAGATGTTATGCTGCAGTTAGACAATGCTCTGGTAGACTCCACTTGGAGTACTGGCAGCACAGAAACAGACCATTTGGCCCAACCTGTCCATGCTGACCCAGATATCCTAAATTAATCTAGTCCCATTTGCCAGCATTTGGCCCATATCCCTCTAAACCCTTCCCTATTCATGTCCCCATCCGGATGCCTTTTAAATGTTGTAATTGTACCAGCCTCCACCACTTCCTCTGGCAGCTCATTCCATACACGCACCACCCTCTGTGTGAAAAAGTTGCCCCTTAGGCCCCTTTTAAATCTTTCCCCTCTCACCTTAAACCTATGCCCCTCTAGTTTTGGACTCCCCACCCTGGGGGAAAAAGACCTTGGCTATTCACCCTATCCATGCCCCTCATGATTTTATAAACCTCTATAAGGTCACCCCTCATCCTCAGACGATCCGGGGAAAATAGGCCCAGCCTATACAGCCCCTCCCTGTAGCTCAAACCCTCCAACATCCTTGTAAATCTTTTGTGCACCCGATCTATCTGGGCACCACATCTCTAGGAGGATAGACAGGCCTTGGAGAGACTACAACAGTTTTACAAAAACGTTACCTGGACTTTCAGGGGTTAAGTTATGAAGCCAGATCTTACAAATTAGGCCCTTTTTTTTTCTAGAATGTAGAGAGTTGAAGGGTGATCTGATTGAAATTTAAGACATTAGCAGGAAGAGTCAGTAAAATAACTTATTTCAGTGGTTGGGGATTTTAGAACTAGGGGCATAGCCTGAGAATGAGGGCCAGACTGTACAGGAGAGATGTTAGGAAGCACATCTACACACTAAGGTTGGGAACTCTCTTCCACAAAACGGCAGTGGATGCTGGATCTGTTGTTAGTTTCGTATCGGAGGTGGATAAATTTTTGTAACTCGGGGACCCTGGGCCAAAGGCCGTTTTATGGAGTGAGGGTGCAGCTCAGCCACAATCTCCCTGAATGATAGAATCAGCTGGAGAGGCTGAATGGCCTGATCCTGCAACTCGGGATGGATAATAAATACCTGCCCTGCCAGTGACACCCATATCCCATGAAGAGATAAAACAGAGAAAACAAGGTGTAGAGCTGGATGAACACAGCGGGCCAAGCAGCATCAGAGGAGCAGGAAAGCTGACGTTTCGGGCCTAGACCCTTCTTCAGAAATGAGATAAAACAGCTTCAATGAAGCTGACGATATTGTAGATTTATTCAGTGTTGGGATTGGAACCCATTACCATTAGCCTGGCTTGTTGGGTTACTAGTGAATACTCAGCACTATGCCCCTGCTACCTCTTCCCCCTCCGGTTCCTTTACCTGGAACATATCGGTGTTACTGTCGTGACCATACTCCACAATGACTGACCGACTCTGAGACAGAGTGTAGAACACACTGTGTTGGTCCGAGTTGCTCAGTGCCTGCAGACAGAGCTCAGGGTTAGTTTGTAGGTGTCACGGCATCTCCACAGCCTGTTAAAAATCCATTAATCCCACCCTCTCCATCTCACACACACACACACACACAGTCTGAAAGTTCAAGAGCCCCGCTCAGAATCGTGACCCCATTCTCTCGGGGAAACATTGCATTGTTGAGGGAGCGGTGGGCTGCAAGAGTCACTGATCAAGGTAGACATCAACCCAACACATGATCTGGCCCCCCCACAAGGTGTACATTAGGGATGGTGTGGACAGTGTTCAAAGGAGGGCTGGGGGGCAAGTTCTGGGTTGCTTTTGGCAAACCTTGCTTATAAGGAATAGGCCACTCAGCCCCTGGAGTCTGCTCCACCATTGAATACAATCCTGGCCCATGTGACTGTAATCCCTTTCCTGAACAACCCGATAAACGTTGACATATCTCAGTGAGGACTCGATCTCCCTGAAAAACACTGCCTCCAGTGGGAGACAGAGGGGAGGAGGTGGGGGGGGGAAGAGAGGGAGAGAGAGTCTTTACCTTATCTCCCTCTTCAAGGGGAAAGCCTGAGAGCATGCCCCCTATTGGTTTTTTCTTTATTCATTCACGGGATGAGGGCATCGCTGGCCACGCAGCATTTATTGTCCATCCCTAATTGCCCAGAGGGCAGTTAAGAGTCAACCACATTGCTGTGTTGGTCTGGAGTCACTTGTAGGCCCAGACCAGGTAAGGATGGTAGTTTCCTTCCCTGAAAAGGGGCATTGGTGAACCAGATGGGTTTTACTAGATAACCCAGCCCCTCAAAAAAAAAGGGGCGGAAACATCCTCTCCCCTTGTCACCCTTTCCCTAACATTCCCAATTCCCTGGCAACACGGCAGGGGACTTGCCGCTTGTGGGATCTTGCTGTGCGCAGAGAGGCTGCCCTGCCCTTCTCTCCCCTCATTAAGGAGGAGAAACTCCTTCAGCCAGAGAGCAGTGAGTCTATGGAATTCCCGGCCACAGGAATGCTGTGGGGGCCGCATCATTGAGTATATTTAAAGACAGGGATAGACAGGTTCTTGATTGTCAAAGGGTTGGGCGGGAGGCGGAGGAAAGCGGGAGAACGGGGGTTTGAGAAACCGATCAGCGGACCAGATGGGCTGAATGGCCTAACTTCTGCCGCGATGTCTTATCAGTGTGGAACATGAAGTTATTCCTAGAGCGCAGGGGTGAGGAATGTTTGGGAGGGTATGGAGGGGCGTGGTGACTGGGCAGATGGAGAGGTTGGTTGGGGTGGGCTGTGGCGGGGAGCGGGGAGAATATTTGGGTGGGTATTGGGGGGGTGAGTGGGCGGACGGAGAGGTTGGTTGGGGTGGGCTGGGGTGTGGTGGAGGGGTGCAGGGGGACAGAGGCACTGACCTTGGAGGTGAGGGGGGATGGGAATCTTTGGAAGGCTTTGGTTGGGGGGTGAGTGGGCAGATGGAGAGGTTGGTTGGTGTGGGGTGGGGGGGAATGGAGGTGTCGGGCGGAGGCACTTACCTTGGAGGTGAGTGGGGTGGGGGGGTTGGGGCGTGGTGGAGTGGGGGTGGGGGG